AGGATTCTATTTGGATTCCACTTTCACAGAGTGGGGTTATATTAAAAAGATTCTGGAGTTGAGTCTCATCCAGATGGAGATGCAAAAGCGTACGAGGGGTGAAAAAGACTTCAGCAGGCCATTGGATAACATTCTGTGTTCGCCTGTTTAAACACAGGGCACAGTTACATTTCACTCGTGTTTGTACTGTGAATACTCAGCAGTGCAGGCGTTAAAGAGTCTGTTGTGTCTCTTCACTGTACATGGTACTGTGTCACATGAGATCAAGTATATGTATATATGTATATGTGTATATGTGTATATGTGTATATGTATATATGTGTATAGGTGTATAGGTGCATATGTGTATATGCATATATGTGTATATGTATATATACATATATAAACATACACAAACATTATACAGTCATTTCAACCTCCTCTCCCTTGTCCCTCACCTGTGCCTCCCACTAGTTCTTTTGACTGTTAGAATCTAGGTGCCACAGTTGAGAGAAAACAAGATGTTCCTGACATTGGCTGAGTTTGCCTAAATATGGTTATTTGATGTCAAAATTATCATGCTTCTTAGACAATTTTCACTGCTGGAATTTGATCCAAGCTGATTGACCACCAGAGAGTGCTTTAAGACAATAGATGGGAAACTTTATTTATTTATTTATTTATTTATTGATGGGAAACTTTAATGTCTTAGAACTTTTGAATTTTCTTACTTAGACCTCTAAGGAACTTTAGAGGGTACAGATTATATATTTACTTATTGTATCATGTTTTAATATATTACATATAAAATATAATAAATTTAGGGCTGAGGAGACAGATGCCTCAGCATTTAAGAGTACATTTTACTCGTGCAGAAGACCTGCATTCCACTCCCAACACTCTCAGCGGGCAGCCCACAACTGCCTGTAGTTACTCCACCTCTAAGAGATTGCCTGCTCTCTTCTGTCCTCCACAGACAACAGGGTTTAGGCGGTTATACAAACATAGCATACCCACCACATACCAACATACAGACCACGAACACACATAATACCTATACATTTAAAATAAAATAAATATTAACAACTAAGAAATACAAATTTAAAAGATAAATTCATTTTTAAAGGTTTGTTTATTTATTTATTTATTTATTTATTTATTCATCTTTTCTTTTTCCAGACAGGGTCTCTCTATATAGCCCCAGCTATCCTAAAACTCACTCTGTAGACCAGGCTGTCCTTGAACTCACAGAGATGCACCTGCGTCTGCCTCCCAAGTGCTGGGATGAAAGGCAAGCACCACCACTACCGGCTATTTGTCTTTATTTTATGTGAATGTGTGCATGTAATTGCATGAGTTTATATGCACCGTATGTGAGCAGGTGTCTGTGGTGGCCGGAGGGTGTCAGATCTCCTGTAATTAGAGTGATAAGCAGTTGTGAGCCATCTGATGGGGGTGCTGGGAACCGTACCCAGGTCCTCTGTGAAAGCACTAAAGTGTTCTCAACCACCGAACCGTCTCTCCACCTCCTTAAAAGATAAATCAAAAAACATTTGTTTAGCAGTCTACTCAAAGGTCACAGCCTCAAAGGTCACAGGCTCAAAGGTCACAGGCTCAAAGGTCACAGCCTCAGTGCACGTCGACATTGGGAACAGATTCATTGCGAAAAGTCATTATATTTTCTGAAACAAAACAAACTTAGTGACAGTGGTGTTTGTATTGTGTGAGGGGTTTGGGGGTGCCGGAGTTGAACCCAGCACCGTGCATGTACATTAAGGAAGTCATCTCCCATCTACGAGATGAGTCTTGTCCTTGTGTTACAGACTGCTTTAGTTGATCACAGTTGTGACAAACATCTGAGCATCGCAGACAGGGAAGGAATCCCTTTGGCTTCTGTTTTCAGAGGTGTCAGCCCATCATGGTTGGAGAGACCAGGGAGCGGAGAGAGAATTCTCTGTCAGTGATTTTCCTAACCCTCTCCCTTTGGTCCATCCGAGCACCATATGGATGTGGCACCCACATTCAGGATGAGTCTTCCCTCAGGAAAGGCCTACACAGACACACCCAGAGGTGTGCCTTACTATTATTCCCTTGGGGGCTTTGGAATACAATCAAATCGAGAGTCAGGATTCACCGCCTGAGTCTGGCTTCCTAAAAGACGTGTGTTCTCCTGTGTCTGCCTTTACTCACCCTGAGTGCTTTTGAAGCATGCAAGGAAAATATGGACACATGCACACACACACACCACACACACACCACAGGCACACATACCACACACATACACACACCCCCTCACACTCATACCACATACATACATACTATACATATACACACATACCACACGTATACACACATACACCCCACACACATACCACATATATACATACCACATACACATACCACACACGTACACACACATACAACCCCCACATACATACCACACACATACACATGCACAGATATATACACACACACACCATACACATATACCACACATATACACACACACCACATACACACATACCTCACATATACACACACACCACACACACATACCACACATATACACATACATCACACACACCACATACCACACACACACAAACACATACCACACACATACATATACCACACATATACACACATACCACACACACACATACTACATACATACATATACCATACACCCACCACACACACACACCACACACACACAGATACCACATACATACATATACCACACACCCACCACACACACATACCACATACATGCACACACACATATCACACACACACACACACATACTCCCCAATATATGTGGTTTTGTGCAAGTGAGTGGGGGTGTCTACAGTGGCCAGCAGAGGGAGTCAGACCCTCTGCAGCCTGAGTTGGGCAGTTGTAGGCTGGGAACTGGACTCTGGTCCTCTGTAAGAGCAGTGTACTGTCTTAACAGCTAAGCCATCTCTCCAGCCTCAGGGACAAGGTTTTTTTTTTCAAGTTACTATAGATATTTGTATAAGATACCACAGCAAAATTAGGTAGGAGATAGATTCACCAAATAGGTTCACTGTGATGCAGAACCTGATGGCGCGTGGGCACATTTCCATCCTTTGTGATGTGGGGTCCATTGGTTTATTCTGTGCTTGGAGAAGATCTATATCCAAACCTGATTCTATAACACCATGAATTGCTTGTTTGAAAATTATTGGTTCTCTAAGAAATAAAAGAACCTTAAAACGCTAACACACTTTATGATAAAGTGCTCAAAGCCATTTTTATTACTGTCACCAACTCAGTGGGTATGATGGATGTTGCATATTGGCTGTGCCAGAACTCAGGAGGATTGGAAGTTTGAGGCCAGATGGAGTCTTGCAATGTGTGTCTGAGCACGGAGTTCCCAAGGTGCTTACTTGTGCATTTGTTAAAACCATGCTGGCTGTCTTAGTTAGGGTTTTACTGCCGTGAACAGACACCACGACCAAGGCAACTCTCATAAGGACAACATTTAATTGGGGCTGGCTTACAGGTTCTGAGGTTCAGTCCATTATCATCAAGGTGGGAGAATGGCAGCATCCAGGCAGGCATGGGGCTGGAGGAGCTGAGAGTTCTATGTCTTCATCTGAAGCCTGCTAGGGAAAGCCCATACCCACAATGACACACCTACTCCAACAAGGCCACACCCACTCCGATAAGACCACACCCACTTCAACAAGGCCACACCTCCAAATAGCGCCAGTCTCTGACCCAAGCATATACAAACCATTACACTGTCACTTTACTCGGAGTCTAGGTAGTTAAGCAATGAAAATTATCTCAGGGCACTCAGTGAGCCAGGGGACCATTTTTTAGTCAGTGGCTTTATGTGTTATTTCTCGAGTAGTTCTCAAGACCTGATAACCTAACCGAGAATAAAGTAAAAAAGTAAATGCCAGAAGCCGAGCGAGATGCTAATGGGGAGCGGGCAGATCTGGCCAGAGTTTCTCAGCAGTGATAGAAACTGAGCAATAAAGCTAACAAGCTAGAAACGATCACGAGACAAGACAAGGAGACAAAGGTAGCCGCAAGACTGCTTTTGACTATGGAAAATTTCAAATTCACAGAGAAATGGAGAATATCATTGCAAGGAACCGTGTGCCTGAGACTTGCGGGTAGCTTGATGAATTTGTGTCCTTTTTTTTTTCTTCTTCTTCTTCTCCCAAGTTACTTTAGTTGAAACTAAACAGTCACTTGTATTTTGCTGTTAAACAGGCTACTGAACATCTCTAAACACAGCAACATATAGATAAAAAGCTTTGTGGGGCTGATTGGGATCCCAAGAGATCCCTTCAGAGCCTTTGTTTTGGTGGCTGGGGTGTACAAGATGAACACCAGTAGAATAGCTTGGGGTGAGAAGGGGTGGGGCTTAAAGTTGTTTAGGGAGGGCTACGGAGATGGCTCAGTGGTTAAGAGCAACAGGCTGTTCCTCCAGAGGATCTGGGTTCAATTCCCAGCACCCATGTTGGGTAACTTGAGTTCCAGGGGAATCCAGTTCTCTCTTTTGGACTCCACGGGCACTTGCACACACGTGTGCAAACGTGTGCATACACATAAATAAAAGTAAAATGTTTTTTTTTAATTGTGTAGAGGCCGTAGAGGAAGAACAGAGTCCCTCTTCTAAGGCGGAGAGCTGAGCTATGGTCACTATTAAGTTTTGATATATGATGGATGACTTAACCACTTCCTGTCTCCTCCCCGTGTCTCCAGTCACACATGAATTATCCTATTATATTTCAGAAATTGGGCTGCTTAAAAAAAAAAAACTTGACCCTGATATTAATGGGGAGGGGAGTGAAAAATGATGTTTTCCCCAAATGGATGTTTTCCCGAATGTCCATTCAGTCCACAATACTGACATGGAGGCGTCGCGGGACTCTGGAGCTTAGACAGCCAGTTCCACAGCTTCCTACGGGAGTCCTGCGTTCTCTTCTTTTGCATTGAAATTGTGCACCTGTCTGAATTCCCGCTGTCTTCTCCTGTTCAGGTCTCGGATGTGGCTTGCTCTACACCGCGACGGTGACCATCACGTGCCAGTATTTTGACAGCCGCCGGGGCCTCGCCCTCGGCCTGATTTCAACAGGTACCTTTTCAAAACTTAGTATTGTCGTGAGCTAATGTTCCAAACCAGGTGAAGAGGTGTAAAACACGTGTGTGTGAACCAATCTCTACCTGCCACCAACCAGAAAGCAAAATGGCTTTCCCAGCACTATTAGAAAGAAAGTTTTATTTTCTACTGTATATACGGGACTAGCTTTCAAAAACCCCAAGATCCAAGCCGGGAGCTGGTGGCTCATGGCTTAAATCCCAGGCAGACGCAGGCAAATCTCTCTTGAGTTTGAGGCCAGGCCAGTCTTGTATATAGGGTGAGTTCCAGGACAGCCAGAGCTACAGAAAAGAAACCCTGTCTTGGAAAACAACCCTCCCCATGCCTCCCCACACACAAAAACAAAACCTACACACACACACACACACACACACACACACACACACACACACACACCTGCTGCCAAGATCTGTAAATGGTGAATCTGAGTTCTAGACTTAACTTCAGTGTGATGTACGTAGAGGAAAATTCCAGGCCCCCAAGGTGTTGACAACTCTCTGTGGGGGGAAAAGGTTTGGGTGAAAAGCAGAGAATCCTGAAATTTCCTGCTCTGGAAGAAGGACGGGAAGGAAATGAAACAAAGATTCCCTGAAGTCTCTGTCTGAGAGTCGGAGGTCAACCTTGCCACATAATGTAGAACTCACAGCCTGCCTGAGGGCTTGATCTCTGACCCAGACTCATTCACTGAATTATGTACACATTCAAGCAATACACACTCTTATCTAACAGATAATCCCCGAAGGCATAAGATATAAATTTTAAGCCAGGCTGGGGTAGCTGTGGAAGGTTTGTGATCATGGAACCAGTCTGAGTTATATGTAGAAAGAACCTATCTCAAACAAACAACGAAAAGCATATATAAGGTTTAAATATAATTTCTGGCCCTCCTCTAGATATCTCGAAGAGTTACTTTATGTTTTAGATGGATTTGAAAACATGCTAGGATAGTATCATTTTTGTGGCCAATATTTTAATCAGTCTAGTTAGGGCAGAGGGTCTCAACCTATGGGTTGTGACATGACTCCTTTGGGGGCTCAGCCTACCCCTTTTAAAGAGACCTTATATCAGACATACTACATATGAGATATTTACATTATGATTCATAACAGTAGCAAAATTATAGTTATGAAGTGGCAATAAAAATAATTTTATGGTTGTGGGTCACCACAACAGGAAGATCTATATTAAAAGGTCACAGCACTAGGAAGGTTGGGGATCACTCATTTGGAGGGTGATCTGCTAAGTTAGCAACAAGTTCTGTTTACCCAAGCTAGTTGTTGGTGCAGGGGTTGAGGGTAGGGAGGGATTCTGAAAGGCCTAGCTCAGGCAGGCTGCCAGATGTCAACTGGCACCAAGTTGGATCCTGACCCAGCTTGTCTAAGGAAGTCCCAGGACTAGGTAGGAAGTATGAGGTGTGGTCCAGGAGGAGATGAGGCTGGAATCAGAGCAGATGGAAACCAGAGAAGGAACACAAAAGCAGATTGTGGAATTCCAGAGCAGTGGGGGTGTAGTTTAAAACACCTGTCACTATCTCCTAGAAATGTGAAGTAATTGTGATACAGAAACCTGAAGGATAAAGTGTGTGTGTGTGTGTGTGTGTGTGTGTGTGTGTGTGTAGTTAAAAAACAGTTATCACACACATCCTGGAGCCAGACTTCTTAAAGATTTCATCATGTGTATGTCTGTGCGTGAGTGGGTTTGTGCGCGTGAGTGCAGGTACCCACAGATGCCGGTAGAGGGCGTCAGATCCCCTGGAGCTGCAACAACCCATATGTTCTCCACAAACTTGAAAATGCAAGTCTTCTGCAAGAGCAGGAAGTGTTTTATTTCAAATTGAAAATAGATTTTTTTAACAGTGTATTCTTATGCTAGATTCTTCCTCCTTCGACTCATCCTAGAGTCTCCCTACCTCCCGACCCACCCAATTTCACATCCTTTCTCATTAGAAAACAAACGGGCATCCAAGAAAAGATATAGATAATCATAAAATCTGATCAGATAAAAACAAGTAAACCTGAATAGGACAAAACAAAAACAAAGAGCCGAAGACAAGCTCGGGAAACACATATAGATGCAGAGACGCACACAATAGTGTGCAAAGAAATTACCTCAAAACATAAAATCGGAGACCATTATATAAAAGTAGAAGATTTTCAGGATAAGAAAAAAAAAAGAAAAGAAAAGAAATGCCCAGAAAAAGCATTAAGAGACAACAAGCAAAAACATAATAATAATAATAATAATAGTAAACAAAATCACCTCCAAAAATACCATTGAGTTTGTTTTGTGTTGGCCATCTGCTAGAGAAAACTACCTTTTCTTTTACAAGTGTTTATCCATTGGAGTTTCTGGGTTAGGGATAAGGGATGGGGGCGTGGTTAGGGTAAGGGCGTGGCTTGTGTTCACTTCCTCTCTCGGTGCTGGAAGTCCTTTTGCCTGTCCCCCTGAAGCTAGACTTCTGTCATTTGCTGGTTGGTGTTGGACAAGATGCTTCTCAGCTCTGGGCCTCTGTTTTCTGAACTGTAAAATGGCAGTAGTAAGATCAAACACGACTCTTGGTTATGGGGACCGTAGAGGCACACACAGACTGTAGGAGAGCCAGTAATTGTAATTGTGATCAAAATATCCTATCCTGTTCAAATATTCACCGATGCTAAAGTTACTGAAGATGTCGTGCCATTGCGTGGTTCTCACTTTGCACTCTGTGTATCGGGCAGGGCAGAGGGCCTGCACTGTATGTAGCACAGCAAATCCAAAAGGCCACACCCATGGGCAGTCCAGATTTGAAAGGGTTTTCGGTTTCAACCTACCGGAGGCTGGTGATTTGAAACTAAAGCCAGGCACGATTCCCTGCCATCTAAGGAGATCTCAGCAAAACAGACTCACAGTTGAAGTTTTTCAAAAGAGACCATGAGCTAGTTTCTTGAAACATGATCACTTGGTCAAGAAAGGTAAAATGTGGATGTGTAAGCATAATGCAAAGGTTTTTGCCTGATGTGGTGGTGTACACCATTCCAGTACTCAGCAGGCTGAGACAGGAGGGATGTGAGTTCAAGGTTAGCTCTGGGTACATTGGGGGAGCCTGCATCAAAACAAGCAGCAACAAAACCATGAAGGTGGTGGGCTGTGAGCTTCAGTGGTGGACAGAGGTTAGAAAACTGGCCTATAGTCCAATCTGCTTTACTGTCTGTTCTCATACATTGCATAAGCTTGGTTTTGTTTTGTTTTGTTTCTATTTTTAGCCCTATTTTAAAAAGTGAAAAGAACATTTCATGGTGTGTAAACATTCGGGGAAACCGAGTGTCCAAAAATAGCTGGATATCTGCTGTCTGGTGTCTCCGTGATTCCCGGGAGAGTTCAGTCCTGAGGACAGACCAGCATTGGATGACTCATGTCTTCAATGTTTGTTCTCTGGTCTCTTACGGAAAAGCTTGAAACGATTTGTATTGATGAAGGGATTAAAGCGCATGTGTGCCTCTTACTGTTCGAGGTTCCCTAAACACCAATTACTTTTCCTGTCTGTAGCCTCGTAAGATCTAGACTCCGAGGAAAGCATAATTAGTGTGCTCTCTCACTCTGCTCTCTTACGGTGACCATTTTTCAATTAAGATGTTCCTGTAGACGATTAAAAATTAGAGCTTTGCATGTTCCAAAACTCCACGAGAAAACTCGGAGGTTGGTTCCCGTCACCCTAGCAATTCCCGTATCTTCTCTAAGCCACCGCTGTGTTCTCATGGGATACAGGCTCAGATACTGAATCTGGCCTGCCTCGTCACACAGCACATTGTAGCAGTTCAATAGTTGGGCTGAAGTGATTTGCTATCTCATGATATGGACAGGTGAATTCTGTTGGTGAGCGATGGCAGTTCTTTTTCAACTTAAGAGCAAAGCAGAACTTGGAACTTTTAACTTATATTTCTTGATCTCTGTGTGTGTGTGTGTGTGTACACGTGCATGCTTTCATGGGTGAGTGTGGATACTTACTTGCCACACACAAGCTCACACAGTGGTCATAGGAAGACTTGCTGAACTCGGTCGGATCCTCAGGTGTGCCGATCCACCTCTCTGACCCCCCCCAAACAGACCTTGAAAACCATTGAGAACATGTCTAAGGGGCTGGAGAGATGGCTCAGCACTTAAGAACAAAGCTGATTTTGTAGAGAACCCGGGTTCAGTTCCTAGCATCTACACAACAGGGCAAAACCATATGTAACTGCAGTTCCAGGGGATCCAATGTCTTCTTTGGCTTCTCCTGGAATCAGGCACGCATATGGAGCACAGACAGGCATGTAAGCAAAACACTCATCCAAGATAAGTTTAAATCTTTTAAAAAGAACACATTTAGTGTCTTAACGGTGCGGCATCTTATTACAGTCTGTATAACAGATTAGACAGAAGTCACAAACTGTTCTATGAAGCAGAACATGTCTTGAAGTTTCCCCATTCCGTTTCATTCCTTGTTTTCTGAACCGTTTTTAGCTTCTGAAGCATGTACCACTTTTCAAAGACAAGGAAGGGACTGAATTTGTCTGTTAATTATTTTTATTTTCTGTCTATGGGTGTTTTGCCTGCATGTGTGTCTTTGCACCACATTCATGCAGTACCTGAGGTGACCAGATGGGGGCGCTGGATTCCACCTGAAACTGCAGTTAAAAGATGGTTGCAAGCTGCCCTGTGGGTGCTGGGAATTGAACCTGGGTCCGCTGCAAGAGCAGCCAGTGATATTTATCCCTTTGCTCCTTGTTTTAATAGTTTTTGATGAGATGGGTTTTTAGAGCATGTGTATCTACTAAGATCATCTAATGCAGAATTTTAAAGTTTTAACTTGTTTACATTTTCCTGCTGTTTCATGACATTTCCTAGTGATATTTAAATTTTTTAAATACTCAATTTAAAAAAAAACAAAATTGAAATAACCCAACGAGAACAGCATAAATTAAACAGCATTGCAGTGTTCTTAGGGAGATGGATGCCGAAGAGGAGACATTTTGTCCCTGTGCGATGTATACCATAATTGAAATACTCCATCAACCCTCACGCCAGCCTTTTCTTATACTCCTATTAACGCATTAAGAATATAAATCGCTTGTTCTAGTGATTCCACAATGAATTGAAGTGATCAAACCAATATAAATATCCTAAATTTAACCCAATAGCAGTCATCTTAAAAATGAAATGTAGAAATTTGCTTTGACAGAGGCAATGAAATGTAGCATGGAGCTCACTACATACTATATGAAAAATGCAGCCAAAGAGCATTTGCTAAGAATATAAGGACCAGCAAGATGACTCAGTGGGTAAATGCACTTCACTGAGTTTAAGTCCTGAGACTCTCATAATAGAAGGAGAGAACAGACTCCCAAAAGTTGTCCTCTGACCTACACATACACACACACACAGACACACAGACACACAGACACACACACAGACACACATAGAAACAGACACAGACAGACACACATACATACACACAGAAACAGACACAGACATAGACACACAGACACACAGATACACTAACACACACAGAGAGACATACATAGAGACACACACATACATACACACACAGACAGAGATAGACATACATAGAGACAGACAGACACACTAAGAGACAGATACACAGAGACAGACACAGACAGACACACACATAGATACATTAGCACACACAGAGACAGATACACATAGAGACAGACACACAGACACACACATACACACACAGAGACAGACACAGACATACATAGAGACAGACACACACACACTAAGAGACAGATACACTAGAGACAAACACAGACAGACAGACAGACACACACACACACAGACATACTAACATACACACAGACAGACACACATAGAGATAGTCAGACAAGACACACACTAAGAGACAGATACAGACACACATAGAGACAGACACACACAGACAGACACACACACAGAGACACACTAACATGCACACAGAGAAAGACACACATAGAGACAGATATACACACATACAGAGACAGACACAGACATACATAGAGACAGACACACACACTTATACACACACATACACACAAACAGACACACATAAAGACACAGAAACACACACATAAACACTAACACACACACAAAGACACACTAACACAAACACACAAATACATACAAAGAGACACACACACAGACAGAGACATACACAGAGACAGACAGATACACACACACTCACGCTTTGGGAAGTACATGGCCATATAAAAATCCATACTTCACAAACAAATGTAATTTTAAAATTAAAAAATGAACTCCATGGGTTCCTGGAGTCGGCTGACTGAATAGAGTCCACTGACAGAATAGAGTCCTGCTGTGTTTCTTGTGTACAGCTTTGAGATCTGTGGTAAAAATTTCAAGCTCTCTAGCTAGCCCTTACTTCCTCTGGAGATTGGGGGTTATAGTAGGATGTTCTCAACAGGACCACTGAAAATAATAAAGAAGGTCATGTATCCAAAGTACACAACAGGGAGCTGGGGAGCTGACACAGCAGGTAAAAGCATGAATGGATTTCACAGGGGACCTGTGTTCAGTTCCCAGCGCCTGCATCAGGCAGCTCACAGCCACCTGTAATCCCAGCCACCGGGATCCAATGCCTTCATCTGACCTTTGTAGGTACCCACTCCACAGAGACACATGCACACACATGTCATTTAAAAATAAGGGTAACTCCTGGGGCTGAAGAGATGGCTCAGTGGTTACGAGTACTCTGGCTGTTCCTGCAGAGGGTCCGACAGTGGTTCCAAGCACACACATGGCAGCTAACCACTGTCTATAAACTCCAGTTCCAGGGAATCCAATACCTTCTGGCCTCCATGGGCACTGTGCATGTGTGGCACACCTATAACTGTGTAAGAAAAACACGCATACACATAAAAATAAAAACCTTAAAAATCCCTTTAAAAAAATAAAATAAATCCTAAATGCAAACAGGGTCTTTGAACAGTATGCCGAAGATGGATGTCCTGTCCATTCTGATGTGCTGTTATCTGAGTGTTCCTGCGGCATTAATACAAAGACCCCATGAATGCCAGTGTAAATAATCACCATAATCACAATGCCACCAATGCATGTTCTAAGGTTATAAAAAGCGATCAAGACTGAACCGGTCTCGCTCTCTCGCAGGTTCGAGTGTGGGCCTCTTCATCTACGCGGCTCTGCAGAAGATGCTCATTGAGTTCTATGGCCTGGATGGGTGCCTGCTCATCGTGGGCGCTTTAGCCTTAAACATCCTAGTCTGTGGCAGTCTGATGAGACCCTTGCAGACCTCCGACTGCCCTTTTCCTGAAAAGACAGCTCCGGAGAATGTTCCAGATCGATACTCCATCTACAACGAGAAAGAGAAGAACCAGGAAGAAACTATGAACTTCCAAGACAAGGGCTACGGTAGTGAAGAGAAATGCTTGCCCAATGGCGACTGGGGACGGGAGACTTCCCTTCCTAAAAGCCTCACCAGCGCTGCACACACCAAGGAGTCCGAACCATACAAAAAGAAGGTCGTGGAACAGACTAATTTTTGCAAGCAGCTTGCCAAGAGGAAATGGCAGCTATATAGGAACTACTGCGGAGAGACCGCGTCTCTTTTTAAAAACAAAGTCTTCTCCGCACTGTTCATCGCCATCTTGCTTTTTGACATCGGAGGCTTTCCACCGTCACTGCTCATGGAGGACGTGGCGAGAAGTTACCACGTGAGGGAAGAGGATCTTACGATGCCTCTCATCTCCATTTTCGGCATCATGACAGCCGTGGGCAAGCTTCTTTTGGGCATCCTGGCTGACTTCAAGTGGATCAACACTTTATATCTCTACATAGCTACCCTGATCATCACCGGTCTGGCCTTGTGCGCAATCCCCTTTGCCAAGAGTTACGTCACGCTGGCGATACTTTCTGGGATCTTGGGTTTTCTTACTGGTAATTGGTCCATCTTCCCGTATGTGACCACGAAGACTGTGGGGATTGACAAATTAGCCCACGCCTATGGAATACTCATGTTCTTTGCTGGACTTGGGAACAGCCTCGGGCCCCCCATCGTTGGTAAGATGTTCATTCAAGTCAGCTTGGTTCATCGTTCCTCTCTGTGACATTTCCAGATAGAGACGTTCTCAGCGACAGCATAGATTTGCTCAAAGTAAAGCAGATTGTTTTGCGGTAGTTTATTCAAGATGATGTTGATAGGGCTGGGGGTGTGGCCCTGTTGGTAGAGTGCTTGCCTAGCATATACAGGAAGCTTTTGGTTTACTCTCCAACTCCATCTAAAACCAGGCGTGGTAGCTCACACCTGTAACCCTAGCACTTGGGAGGGTCTCAAGTGTGAAGTTCAGGCTCATGTTTGGTATATGGTGAGTTTTAGGCCAACCTGAGCTACACGAGTCCCTGACTCAGTACACACACACACGTGCACATGCTTGTGGGTGCGCGCACCCACCTACCCATATGCACATGCATGCACACACGAACATGCACACACACGTGCATGCACCTGTATGCACACATGCATGCATGCGCACACACACACACACACACACACACACGCATGCACATTCACGCACATACCCCTGCGATATAGTCAAATAAGCTGATATACCTCCTCTGACTTCGTGCCCATTCTTTAATTGGGAGAAACTAAAAATACCTGCCTCAAATATTTCACAGACTTCTTTCTTAAAACACAGGCAGCCATGTTGGAAGCAGGTGGGAGGGGGCGGGGGGCGGGAAGGACGTACCCAGCTACTCTGAAACTTATGTTGTTTTAATGATTCTCTCCTCAGGTTGGTTCTATGACTGGACCCAGACCTATGACATTGCCTTTTATTTCAGTGGCTTCTGCGTCCTGCTGGGGGGCTTCATCCTGCTCCTCGCCATCTTGCCCTGTTGGGATATGTGCAACAAAAGACTCCCTAAGCCAGCGATGCCGACCACCTTTTTCTACAAAGTTGCCTCTAATGTTTAGAGGGACATTAAAAGGCTTTACTTCCTCTATTTTTCTACTTTATACAGCAATGTATGTATGTGTGTGTGTGTGTGTGAATATCCGTATGTAACCAATTGTTAGGCAAGTTCTCTAGAGTCAAGATCTTATAGCAAAACATCTCTGGCTTACTCTGACGGAGAACACACACTGTTTTTGTGTGCCATGTATAACCTCGATCCCTTGTCTTCCCCTCCCCCACCCCTCGGGAAGCAGGGCTGTTCCTTTTCACGGTTGTTCGTCGTTCCTGAGTTCAGGTTGTAAAACCATTGACTAGCCTCGCACATTTTCCTCTGGGTGAAGTTTAAAGTCTCTGCTTTCCCCGTGAGTTCTCCAAGGTGCTCAGTGGGTCCTGTCTTAAACCGTGCACTCCTCGTGATCGGATCTGTGTAAAGGAGTAAGGGCTGTCTCCTCCATGTGAGCCCTGCAAGTCCAGAGAAGAGACCGAGCCGTCTCATTTCCAGAAACGAAAGTAATTTGCAACATCACTGAGCCATCGAAGACCATAGACGATGATGACATAGTTTAAATCGCAGCTGTCTGACGTCCGTTTTCTAATTTCCTGTGTTTGATGAAGTACTGTGGGGCAATTTGGTGTCCACTGCCTACGAACTTGCTCGATTCCTCCAGCAGCCTCCCTGCATGGCTGGCTCCTAGGACCTCGCTCCCTGGTCTTGATCGGCATCCACTTTGCTGATGTCTTCTGAAAGGGCCGCAGGCTTACCAGTTTCCAGCTTGGAGCCACACCTTTGAACCATTCCATCTAGCCAATGGGAAGCGCCCATTTGCTTTGAGCGCTGTGAGAACTGGTTTGGGGCGGGGGTGGGGGGGGGGGGAGGGCTTGCCTGTCTTCCAAATGAAGCCAGTGGTGGTTTCTCTTGGGTTTTTTCACTACTGTGTTTTTTGAGTCGCTAAAAAATGATGCTTTCAGTCCATAAGATGTGGAAAAGGACAGGGCAAAGAGAAATTGCTACTATCACCCAATCACATTTAATCCAAGAACAATGTTTGAGGGTGAAAATAATGTTTAATAAATGAACTTCTTTTTTTCTCTGTGTAGAAATGGGTTTCAACTTTGATATGCCTGAAAATCCCCTGTAGAAACTTAAGTGCTTGGTACTATGCTTTTTCTTTTGTTTTCTTTTATTTTTTTTTGAGACTGGGTTTCTTCTGCATACCCTTAGCTGTCCTAACTTGCTTTATAGACCAGACTGGCCTTGAACTCAGATCCACCTGCCTCTGCCTCCCAAGTACTGGGATTAAAGGCGGGAGGATCTTTCCTGGCTAGTACTGTGTTTTTTATTTTAATCTTACATGTCGGCCCAAGCATCTGGACTTCAACGAACTCTGCAAGGATTCTGGTGACAGGGCCTGAGAACAGCTGTAGGCAACAGTAAGACTAGGCTGAAGCTTAGAGGAGCACGGAGGGCAAGCATATCAAGTGGGAAGCCTGAGTTCGTATCCCCAGCAGCACAAGGGAAAAAGAAAGAAAACAGATTAGCAGTAGACAACCATTTTTCCCCCCGTGAATGAAAGGGGGAAAAAAAAAGATACACCATGAAGGCAGGTATTATAAAAACAAACAGTCAAGGGTTCTTTAAGTAAGGGCTCCCTTTCTTTTGTGCCAAAATTGTCCTTTCATTTTTTTTTTTTATAAAATATGGACATGATCTTGTACGACTACATCGCTTTCCTTTGCGGGCACCTGAAGCACTTTATTACAGGTCCCCGATAGCACCTCCTGGAGGTAAATAACCAACTGTGTCCTGTGTCATCAAGTAGAAAGATTCCATAGCATAGTCAGTCCTGCGGTCATGCAATAATGGGGCTCGAAGCACATGAGGCTTGTGCTCTACACTCAGACTTCTGGAAAGTTCTTTGTACCTCATTCTTCAGCCTATCAAAGTTAGTAACTAAAACCTAACTGCAGCTCCAGGGGATCCGACACCCTCTTCTGTCTCCCACAGGCACCTGTGTATTTTATATATATATATGTGTGTGTGTGTGTGTGTGTGTGTGTGTGCACGCGTGTGTATCCACGCACATAAATAAAAATTAAAAAGATATCTTTAAATTTTAGAGCTATGATTTTTTAAAAGCTAAATAAATAAATAAATAAATTACCCTATACTCCTTTGTATTCAAAAGTCTTGTTTTAGTCAATATTGTGTTCAGGGTTCCTAGTGACATGAAAGGTTTGATTTTGCGGTCATCAATGTTGACGATTGTGCCGAGGTGTCCTTCCTCATTGATATTACCCATGTGTACACGAGCCATTGTCTAGGGAATGGGTTTTAGGTTATGATGAAATATTTTGGCTTTTTTTCCCCCAACTTACTGTTTTTCTTCCCTGCTATGGTGACACTCCATATGAATTTAAATATATAAATTATTGGATATAGTTTAGGTCTAGATTGGGCCAAAGCAGACCCAAAAGTCAATGTACTGAACTACTTGGACCCCAGGGTTGGCAGAGCTAATGTGTCAGAACCACAGGAGCCTGGCCTTGAGGAGAGGGAGTCTCAGTAACGACTTCACCTGGAGAGATGGCTCAGTGGTTAAGAGCACTGACTGCTCTTGCAGAGGTCTTGTGTTCAATTCCCAGAAACCACATGGTGGCTCACAACCTGTAATGGGATCCTATGCCCTCTTCTGATATGTCTGAGGGCAGCGACAGTGTACCCACATACATAAAATAAATAATAACAATAATAATCCCGTTTCCTTTTGAGTTGGGGTCTTGCTATATTACTCAGGCTAGACTGCACTCCAAAGCTGGTCTCTGCAAGAGTTGAGATGGTTGGCGTGCAGGTACTACCGTGTCCAGCCTCCTCATTTGTAGCATTCCAAGCTTACACCGTTTCTCTCACAACCCTGTGATGTGTCAACTGTGACTCTGATTTTATAATACAAAACGTAACTGTCCTGATCCGATCACTCTAATAGAAAAGCACAGGAAAGTAATTTCCAAGAGTGAAAACGAGGTCTCTCTTTGAAGAGACCAAAGTTGCCCCCTTGATTCCTAACGCAGATGGGAAAAAAAAGTGTCTAGCTAGGAGAGTTTCTGCCAAACCAAAACATCTCAGCAGAGAAGTTATATAAATAGGAACACCGGGCAGGAATGAACATTAAAAATGAACTTGGTAAGTTTACACCCACCAGAAGCAAATCTTCTGTGACTGGAGAGAGATTCCTGGATACTGGAAATGGCGCCGCTGAGGGTGAGAAGGGTGTGGATCAGGGAATTTGTCTGCAATGCCCCTCCTGGTGGTGTTTTGCAAGTCTTCACCTTTCCTTTCTCGGAGGACTTCATTCTCTCCAGGGAGTCCTGTTATCAGGAGGGAAGCTTCAGCCTCCAGTGTTTAAAGTACCCGTGAGGAACAATCTCTAAGAAGCAACGCTCTGAGGTCACGGCCCAGTGTGAGTGTGTGTGTGTGTGTGTGTGTGTGTGTGTGTGTGTGTGTAGAACATCTGTCGCCTTGGAGAGTCTTAGCTGCCACCAACCAGCACAGGATTATCCTTACACTGGAGTCTCCAAGAATGAAGGAGAGATCCATTTTGAAGAAGAGAATGTCTCCCTTAGGAGTCGCTTCCTGAATGCCTGAAACACGCAGTTAACACCCGCAGTGCATTTTCTCTGAAGTAACCACCGTCTTGGTGTCTTTTGTTATCTAGTCATTGGGTCTGAAGGATGTCCAGCTCTGAGATCCCTCTTTGAGACAGGCATCCAATGAAAGGAACCAGAGGTCCGTGAACAAGTGATAAGGTTTGGCATACCGCCTACATCCTCATCCTCCATGACCAGATGGCGCATGCTCAGTCTAGCTCCGCCTCTGTGTCTGTGACCACGAGCACATCATTGGCTTCTCCAGAGGCTGCTTTCCACTTTTATAAATGACTCCATAGGGCGATCCTGAGACACTTGGGGGTGACTGGCAAGCCATAGGTGCCCATTAAGAGTTCACTATACATATTCTCTCTGTCTCTATTCTCAAGAGTGTGGCTTCTCCTGAGGGAGGCAGCCAGGGTCCCTGGGCACAGGTGGGTAATGTTTACGCTGCAGAGTTTCACTTGGAAAAGGGATGTGGAACCGTCTACCATCCCCTGCTTGGAGAATTGTCTCAGCCCTCGCCCTCCCCCAAGCATGCTCTGGTCAACATCCTCCATAGAAGGGAATTGTGACACAGCACATTTCCCTGGCTTTGCCATTCAGCAGCTCTGACCGGCATCCGAGCAAAGAAAACCAAACCTAAAGCAGGTTCCTCCCAGACTCAAACTGGTTCCACTGTGCAAGCTGAATCGCTACGGAAGCGTGGACTTTTGTTTATTTTTCTTCGAAAGCCTTCACGCCAGCTGCCGGAAAGGTGGGCCTGGAACTGGGCAGACAGCAAACCGATCTGATGTGTTTACTGAGAGCTCTGTCGCTACTGTTGGCATTCCTTCTAAGCTCCGCCCAACGGTTACC